TTAGATCAAGTTTGTTTATAGTGTTGTTGAAATCATCCCCATTCTTAATGATTTGATTTCTGAATTACTGAGAGAGATGTGTGAACATCTTCTACTGTGAGTATTGATTTATCTGTTTTTCTTGTTCATCCTCTCAATTTTTCCTTTCTACATTTTGAAGTTATATGCATACAAATGTAGATTTATTATGTGTTCCTGGATAAATTGACCTTTTTGTCCATATGATATACCTTAAGTTCTGTTTTCTTTAATATCTTGTGATTTGTCTAATATTGATATAGGTATACTAGCTTTCTTTTGGTTAGTGCTTGCATGATATATATACTTTTTCATTGTTGATATTTCTGTTTCTTTATTTTTGGTACTTGTTTTCTATAAATATCTTTTAGTTGGGTTTTATTTTTATTCTCACAATTTTAATTTTTTAACAGGATAATTTAGATGAGTTTTTAATAGGTATGGGATCTAATACCTACTATTGTTTGTTTTCTGCTCTACTCATCTGCTTTAAATCCATTTTTTAAAGTCCTTTTTGCCTTCTCTGAGACTAATTTTTTTTATTGCTCCATTTTCACCCTGTAGGATCTTGTTAATTACCTTCTTTAACTAGTCTTTTAGTGGTAAGTCTAATAAGTAAAATCAGCTTATTATTGTTCAAAGTAAATAATTCTCAGACAATACTAGTACCTTAAAACATTAATTCTATCTTCTTCCTCCTACCTTTTGTTATTTTTTCTATGTATTTTAATTTTACATATAATTTCAATCCCTCAAGACATTTTAATTCTTGTTTTATACAGTCTATTATATCTTTATCCACATATTTACTCTTTACATTGCCTTTCCTTCCTTCTTACATTTCCATATTTCCACCAGGGATTATTTTCCTTCTGTCTGGAGCACTCAACGTTATATTTTAATATGAGTTTGCTGGTGACAAAATTTCTGTTTTTAATTTTAGTATCTATTTCGTATTCACTTTTGAGGGATAGTTTCTGTTGAATTGGCTATTACATTCTTTTAACGCATCATATGTTATTTCATTGTCTTCTGGCTTGTTTTTTGTCATCTTTGAAAAGGCAGCTTTCAGTCTTATTTTTGGTCCTTTAAAGATAATTTGTCTTTTTTTCTCATGCAACTTCTAAGATATTCTTTGATTTTAAGTAGTTTTACTATAATGTGCCTCAGTGGGTTTTCTTTGTATGTATCCTTCTGGGAATTTATAGTGCTTTTCGAAATTCACTTTTCAGTATTTATCTTTTCAAATAATGTTTTTACTCCATTCTTTCTCTTTTCTAATTCCAGAACTTTATTCACACATATATTCAACCTTTTCACCATGTCCAATATGTCTCTTTTTTGTTTTTCTATATGTATTTTCTAGTTCACTAGTCTTCTCTTTTGCTGTCTCCAAAATACTGTTAAATCTATCTACTGAGTTCTTAACTTTAGTTTGTGTTTTCCAATTCTAGAATTCCCATTTGATTCTTTATTCCAATTCTCTGCTGTATTTGTAATTCTCACTTTCTTGAACATATTAATCACCGTTTTTTTAAAGTTCATGTCTGATAGATAGCTTTGGTACTTTAGTTCTGTCGGTCCTTTTCTATTGTCTGTTTTATATCTTGATTCAACTTCTTAGTATTCCGGATACTTTTTGATTGAATCCCTGACATTAATGTGAAGGAGTACAGAGGCTGTGAATGATGTTATATTACTCCAGAGAAGATTTGCTTTCTCTGCTGATAGGTAGCTAGAGTTCAAGCAAACCACATCAATCCAGCCAGTGTGAAGGAGTACAGAGGCTGTGAATGATGTTATATTACTCCAGTGAAGATTTGCTTTCTCTGCTGATAGGTAGCTAGAGTTCAAGCAAACCACATCAATCCAGCCAGGTACTATGTTAGCTGGAGGTTGGGCTGCAGTGTTTGTAAAGTTTAGCCTTCTTCTTGTTTGCCCTTACTACTCTGTTGTTGCCCTCCAGGACTCCCAGCTGAGAGTTTCATATGTTTACGATTACCTTCCTCCTTGGCAGGTCCTGAATTCTAGGTGTTGGCTCCACAGTACCATAAGACTATAGAAAATTCTGAATTTCTGCTTAGCTTTAGTCTCTTGCCCTGGGGAACTTAAGAATTCGGCAAGTTCTTTGAGGGGAAATATTACACTAAGTGTTGGGACCACCTCTCTGTATTTCCATTCCCTCCCAAATATTAAACTGTCAAGTCTGCCTCAGGTGACATTTCATGCCTTCAGACAGATTTTTTTTTCAGTTCAGATTTTCTAGTTGTTTTCTACAGCAGTGTTGGCTGGTCAACCACAGGCTACTCTTTCATGGCCAGAAATGAAAGTCATTTCTTAAGATTTTGAGGTTTGTCAATACTAGTGTTCAGCTTTGACCATTCTTTGTTTTGAACAAGGATATATTATTCTGAGCTCAACAGGATTTTAGCTTTAAAATGTACCCGTTTAATTTTCCTTTCCAGATAATTAAAGGAATTTTTCTTTTCTTTTTTTTTTTTTATTATAGCTTACTTCAGGAATGAATGGGAAAGAGAAGCAATGAAAAGGAGACTTTTTCTTGATAAGATTTCACAAGAATCTCTGGGTTTAGTATCTAGTCCTCACACTGCATTTCTTAGTACAGTCTTAAATAGACTTAAGTTAAAAAACAGATAGTCACAAACATACATGAAAAACTAGTAAGCAATCAAGAACTCTACTTCTTAATACCTAAGTACCCAAGAAGCCAAGTGAGATGGTTGTTAAGTGTGAATTTGGGTTTGAAGAAATAAATGACTTTGTCAGATAGTTTATGGGGCATGGTTTCTGTCAAGTAGCAGAGTCTCATTTGTAGTGACCAGTATACTCCTTTACCCAGATTCAGGGCCTCTCCCTTCTTGACACACTGGGTATATCTTGGCAGATTTCTTGCTTTGTTCCTAATTTTACATATGGATTTGTAGACATTGCTTCCTCAAAAGCAGCAGGAAGTTCTTACTTTTTTTGTAGATACAAGTGTTTCACACAGCCTGTACAGGAGCCTAGGTTTTTATTGTCCATCTGAATGCTAAGATAAGTCTGTAAAACATAAAAGTGTTGGTTTTGGTAGTTACTCTTGAGTTGAATTTTTTTTTCTACCAAGCAACCTCTAGTGTCAATGGTTTTCTAAGGCCACATCTGGGTTGTCTTAGTAACGGTATCACTAGTTATAGTGAATAGACAGTGTGTACAGTCTGTTTTTTGTTGCTTAGAACACCTGAAACTGGATAATTTATAAGAGAATGAAATTTATTCTTACACTTTTAGAGTCTGGGAAGTCCAACGTCCAGGAAATACATCTAGTGAGGGCCTTCTTCTTGGTGGGAAGACTTTATAGAGTCCTGTGGAAACTCAGGGTATCACATATCAAGGGCTGGGCAGGAGCACATTTTTGTGCTCACTTGCTCTCCTTATAAAGCCCCCAGTCTACTCCCTAATAACTAACCCATTACTCCATGAATAGATTAATCCATTCATGAGAGTATAGTCCTCATGATACAATCACCTCTTAAAGGCCCTTTCAAATACCATATTGGGGGTTAAGTTCCAACATTAACTCCCAATAATGTTGGGGGGACATTTAAACCACAGCACAAGGTGTGTGTGTATATATATATTTTATCTGTTAACATAACAGGTGGTCTGTATCAGGTTTTACTGAGTCTTATAAAGTCAAGTAACTTCTCTATAATCATAAAGAAAGTAAGTGTTGTCCTCAGGAATCCAGCCCCAGCCTGTGACTTCTGAACTCAAGGTCCTAAGCTCTTCTGCCTCATACATTATATATTAGTTCAACTCCATCATAGTCCTCTGTTCATTTCTCTTCCCTCTCTCTTTCTTATCTTCACTTCAAGAAATCTTCAAAACTGCAACCTGCGTGTTAGCATTATTAACAGCCTCACCATCTCATTTCATCTAGGTGATTACTAGGGTAAAACAGACATTTTTATTTTTAATGTCTTTCAGACTGGATGACTACGCCTATGAGTAAAGAATCTACTCTTGAGGCAGATATTCCTGAAGAAGAGTTGGATCAGTGGACTATAAAGGAAAGATTCATTGGAGATAGTCACTGGAAATGTGCTAGCCTGTTGGAATGGCATTGTGGAGGCCAGGAGATCAATTTACAGCAAGTGGTACTTGCTCACCAGGATACCTCATCTGGGGTTACTGAACAGGAATACGATGAATCTGGGAAGGGCTGCACCATGCGCTCATCTTCTGTTCTAGGTCAGGGATTCCAACCTAGCAAAAAAGCCTTTGAGTGTAGTGAGTGTGGAAAAGTCTTCTCTAAGAGTTCAACCCTTAAAAAACATCAGAAAATTCATAGTGAAAAAAATGCAAATCAGAAAACTCATATTAAGGAGAAACGATATGAATGTAGAGAATGTGGGAAAGCCTTTCACCAGAGTACACATCTTATCCATCACCAACGAATTCATACTGGTGAGAAACCTTATGAATGTAAAGAATGTGGTAAGGCCTTCTCGGTGAGCTCCTCACTTACTTATCATCAGAAAATTCATACTGGAGAGAAGCCTTTTGAATGCAATTTATGTGGAAAAGCTTTTATCCGAAACATACACCTTGCCCACCATCATAGAATACATACTGGAGAGAAACCTTTTAAATGTAACATTTGTGAAAAAGCCTTTGTGTGTAGGGCACATCTTACCAAACACCAGAATATTCATAGTGGAGAGAAACCCTATAAATGTAATGAATGTGGAAAAGCCTTCAATCAGAGTACAAGTTTTCTTCAGCATCAGAGAATTCACACTGGAGAGAAACCCTTTGAATGTAATGAATGTGGAAAAGCCTTCAGGGTGAACTCTTCCCTTACTGAACATCAGAGAATTCATACTGGAGAGAAACCTTATAAATGTATTGAATGTGGGAAAGCTTTCAGGGATAATTCATCCTTTGCACGACATCGGAAAATTCACACTGGAGAAAAACCTTACAGATGTGGTTTGTGTGAGAAAGCCTTCAGGGACCAATCAGCCCTAGCCCAACATCAGAGAATTCATACTGGGGAAAAACCTTATATGTGTAATATATGCGAAAAAGCCTTCAGTGACCATTCAGCCCTTACTCAACATAAGAGAATTCACACTAGAGAAAAACCTTACAAATGTAAAATCTGTGGGAAAGCCTTTATCCGAAGCACACACCTTACACAACATCAGAGAATTCACACAGGAGAGAAACCCTATAAGTGTAATAAATGTGGGAAAGCTTTCAACCAGACTGCAAACCTCATTCAGCATCAGAGGCATCATATTGGAGAAAAGTGATATGAATACAGTTTGTATGGAAGAGCTTTGAGACTGAATAGATTATTGAAAATAAGAGAGTCCATTCTAGAGAATAACTGAAAGCTTATATGAAGACAGTCATTTTATTTACTGAGAGTCAAGCTTCACAATATTGTGGGTTTTGAGAATTTAAGAATGGCAAACTCTCCTCATTGTTTAGTACTGCCTCAATTGAATAGCAGTACTGTTTAGTCTGAATTACCAAGTATCAGAACAAAAATGGAGCTTTATTAGCAACATAAAAATTGGTTTATTGAATTTACAATTTGATTATTAAAAGAATTTATAACATTGTAAAAATTAAGGTTAAGAAGCAAAGGAACAAAAAAGTAAGAAAATGGTCTACAAGCATTTTACTCTACTAGATTCTCCTATGTAAGAGTTGCCACCTATAATGGAATCCTTAATTCTCTCCTCACCCACACTCCTGACACCCAGGATAAAGACAGTGCACTCACCCACGTACCAGCCCAGGAATTTTTTAAATGATGCTTCCCACCTGCTTCAAACCATCTTTTGTCAGATCTCCCTGGCCTATCTGTCCACTGGCTTCTTATCTGTATTCTCCTTCTGGGACAATTCATTTGAATGGTGTGACCCTCTTCTGATTTAGCAACTCCTGTTAACATTGTGTCACTTGTTACCACACCATTGGGGAGTGTGGTGATCTGATATCATGCACAGTCCATGATTCTGGATATTGCACCCCAATCCAGCTTTCAGGATGGGATATCTGTCTGGGAGGCAAAGTTTGATCAAAATTCTTTAGTTACCCAATTCTTCTGGGTGTCAGGTTGACTCTGACTCTAGGATGATATCTAAAGTAGGGGCTTCATATGTGTAGCCGTTACCCTCCAGTTGTTCTGCACTGTAGTTATTTCTTCTACACACAGCAGTCAGGGACATGCCCAGCTTCAGGAGTGATGGTCCAGGCCACCTCCACTTCTGTGACTTGCCATTTCCCCGTGTCCAATTGACATGAGAGATGAGAGCCCCAAGGCCAGTTCTCAAAATGCTTAACTCACTCTCTTTTCCTTGGCTGGACAGTCCTCTGTGTCCACTAAATTAGAGTATATTTGCTTTTCCCAGAATATTGAACTGCTACATCCTGATCCTTGTCCTGCTTTTGTCTGGGTTTCTGAAGGTATTAATTCTATACCTAGGAGAGCAGAGAGCTTTGAATTTCAGCTTTTGCATTTGAAAGTTATCATTTCCTCTCCTTTGTCTGGGCGTCCCAATGCTTAAAGACTCCCATTCTGACAGTGATAAGCAACATGTTGAGTAATTCCATGGGTCAAGAAGTGGTCAATAGCACCATTGATATTCTCCAGTAGGTATGTGTCCCTGCTCAAAAGTTTGAGTGATACATTAGTCCCACAGGTACAGTTCCTTCACCATTTTTAAGTTGAAGTCACAGAAAATAACATAAGTGTGCCTTCACACACACAGCCTCTGGGGGCAGTCTCGCCTTCCTCACCACAAGGAATGGAGGAGCCTGCTCTACTGCAAGCTGGGACATACCATGCAATGAAGATGGAAGAGCAAGTAAATTACCATTCTGGGAAGCAAAGTGGCAGGTTCTTGGAAGTACTACCCATGAATTTGGACAACCTGGTCCTGCCAAATGTTGCACCTCAGCTCCAAGTTACGGAAGAGGATATTCTATGTCATGTGGGACTCTAGGTTGATGCATAGACTTAGAAGCTTGCAGCAGCTTCAAAGCCTCAGTTCTATAAATTCAGCTCCCATCTAATAAATGCCACCTGTGTAGGAAGGCATCTCCTGTTAGGTGTTGAGCAACTCATTCTTTCTTATTAAGCAGCATGTGAAACAGCATTTCAAAAGGTAATGTGGGACTGCCCATGCCCTGTGCCCACACATTCATCTGCAGCCTTATATGGCTGGTGATGACTCCAGATTCCACAGTAAACCTGGAAAACCGTGCTCACCTGCCCTTAGTACTATCCATATGCCCTGCCAGGTTACAACTAGCATGATCTCCCCCACCCTTACCTTGAATCCCTGAGAAACATGTTTCTTAACTGGGTTTGTTGTTCATTTTCTTCGTTTTTAATGAAAGTATGAGAGCTACTGCCACTTGGTATGTGCCTGCAGTTGAGCCAGGCCAAGGCCTGCTTCCAGTTTTAAGAGCCTCATTCATCTCAGGGCCAGCCCCAGGAGCTGTTCCTCCAGCAGAGTGCTGCAGTCTGAAGGCCCTCCATCTGAGATTACAGTCCACTTTCCCTGAACACAGCTTCTGTCAGGCTTGGGTCTTCATGAAATTAGGCCTCTGAAATGCTTACTCATTTATCCCTGTCTGGGAAGGCAAAAAGTAATTAAATGGCCTGTTAGATAGGCCTAGGCCAATATACTTGAATATATTTATGGTAATAGTGCTTAGCCAGGCATGGCTTTATTATATTCTTATATGATTAACAGCTTATCGTATGCCCTTCTCAACTAAGGGAATCAGCATTGCCTGGGTGCTATTCTGTACCTTTCTAACCTGGAGCAGTATGGCTTTCTACCTGGGCGATCTAATCTGCCTCAGCATCACCTTTGGCTCAGACTCTAATTGTGCATTTTCGACAGTCCAGAGATAAAAGAGTTCCTCAGCCATGATACGGTCTTTTCTGATTGCTGACCTTGTGGTGGTAGACAAGATTCAACAGTTATTGCGAGGGTCTTTTCTCCACCCCACCCTCAGCCAGGTTAATCCCAAGACATCCAGTGATTCCTAGGAAGAACATCTCATTCCATACCTTGCTCTTTCTAGTCTTATTGATTAGCCACTTAGAGACTCCAACTGTGGCAGAAGGTGAAGGATTGCTATTTAGGACCCTTCAGGGTTAGAGTTCATGAGCTGATAATGTGTCATCTTCAGCAGCCCCCTCATCACATATCCAGCTCATCCACCACTCCCTGCTCCACGTAGTGCACAAAGACTGTTCCCCATGCACTCATGACCCTACCATCTCAAGATGGCAAATCTTGTGCCTGTGGCAGAGGAAGTCCTGAACTGACACGCTGCCAGTCTCTGCCCCTTCTCTCTGCCAGAGAAGCATACCCAGGACTCACCTCCCATTTTGGAGCTCTCCTCCCATATTTCAGAATTGCCCAGTGGAGAAACTCATTGGAAGTGCCAATTCCACGCTGCCCAGGAGAAGGGTTTGGGTAGGGGACTACCATCTAGATTGAGATACTCTTCATGTCTGTGGGCTCCTGTGAACAGCCACTGAAACTGCCTGGCCTTTAGGGGGAAAAAAATTGCTCCAAATTTCTCCTTTCAAATTCCTCTAAATTTACCTCTCTTCTCAGGTGTTCCTCATCTCCAGCTGACTGGTTTTGCACCTGGGTTCTTTCTCCCAGCCCAAGCAGCTTGCCTAGCTCCAACAGTGGCATCTCGCTACGGTGTTGCCTTCCTCTGTTTGCGTTCAGTGACTGCTTGTAAAATGGCACCTTGATCCTGTAGCAGACTCAGGCTTCCAGCTTACCGTGCCTGAGCCTCAGAGTCTTAGAATAAAATAGCCCTAAACTCAATGCCTTTGATAGAGAAAACAATTTAACTCGCTTAAACACCAACCTAAGATCACCATAGCCTCTAATTCCTCCCCTTTCCTTCCTTGTTCCCTTTCACTTTGCCCCGCCTTCCACATACTGCCAGATGGTCAGCAAGATGACGTGGAGACATAAAGCTGCCACCCTACTCTGCCCCACAGTTGGAGGGCTCCCTGCTGCTTGGCCCATCTCAACTCCTGCTAAATATACTTTTGATAATATTTTTACTTTTATTATTTTTATACCAGTTTGTGAAGGGGAAAAAAATACAAGGCTTGATTGTTTCTCATCCCTCCAGGACGTCTCAGTTATGCTAATAATGATTATTTTCTGCAAGTGCCCGGATTTGGTAGTACTGACATATTCCCTCCATGTTCTCTGTGGCACCCTGTATATCATACATCACTATCCTTTAAAAACAAAAACAAAAAACTGTTGGGATAAGAATTATTCATCAGTGTATCTTTCCGAAAATAAAATGAGAAAAGTACGCAGTGTTCTAAGAGGTTATCTTGTTAGATATCACTAAGATGTGGCTAGAAGCCGGGCTTCAAAGTGTTATCTCTTTATGGCCAATCTGGTCCTAGTTCCCCACAATGACCATCCAAACCTACCTGGTACCAGAAACCATACTGTTCAGGCTGTGGAGTATAAAAAGCTCTGTCCCTGGCACTGGGGTTAACAGTTAACACTTGAGGGCATACCTTGTGCCAGATACTGTTGTAAGTACTTTACATAAATTGATTCATTTAATCCTCACAATTATGAGACTGTTACTACTATGCTATGTTGTGTCCTATTATGAGATGGTCAATCAGATGCAGCTCAGGAAAACAAAGTTTATTATATTCACAGGTTCTAGAGACAGGAAGACAGGAGTGCAGGGGAGGCATTAGGTCAGAGCCTTTATTGGGGTTTCCGAAGGAAAGGAAAGGAATGACAGAGTGAACAGTTTAGGACCGCCTAATTTGAATAATTTGGGGGGCCTTTAAGCTATTTTGGGGTGGTCCCTGTTTGCCTGGTATCTGGCCCTGGGATGACAAGGGCAGAAGAATATTGTCTACTGGGGTGTACAGTTCGTTTAGAGGCAGCCTGGCTCTGGACTGGCCAGTTTGCATATCAAAAGCATGCTCCTAGCTGGGCCCTTTACTATCTCTAAGAAATGGCTAGAACCAGAAGGGGCAGTCTCTCTGTCAGAAAGTTTTTTTAAGATGTTAAAACATCATAAGATGCATAAAATAAAATATATATACAATACAGATCCCCATGTTAAGGTTGAAGAAAGGTTTAGAAACTTGTTGAGTCATGCAGCTGGTAAATGGTGAATCAAGATTTGACCCCAGGTAGTGTAGTTCCAGGACACATGTGTTTACCCACTACACTTGGTCACATTCTTTATGACACATTCTAGGCCACACTAGAGAGCTCCTTGGCTCATAGTATTGGGGTGGAGCTGATGTGGCTGTCAGTGAGTGGGAGACTGTGCGGCAAGTCTTGCAGCCATGCTTCCAGGCATGGTTTTCCACACCACGCACTTCCACAAGACAGCCCTTCTTCAGCCGTGGGTTGGCAAGGTGGGAAGAATTCAGAGCATTCTTCCAACTTGAGAAGCTGGAACCAGGGGTTCACAGACAAACATCTGAACCTGACAACATGGCCTTGTGACTCTCCTGGGCGCAGCCTGTGATGACCACAGCAGGTCCCAGACCCAGGCCAAACGAAAGGGTTACTGCTAGGAAAGTCCATTTTATTTCGGGCTAGGAACACATAACCCATGCAATGTGTTCCACAAGAGGAAAGCTGAGGCTAGTGGCCAGAGAAACAGAAAGGGCGATGTAGTGATTCACTTAATAAATAATTTCTGCCAAGCATAGTGTACAGTGGTTCTATATTATAGCTACTGCCTTCATGATCCTTAAATGGGAAGACAAGTATTATAAAAGAAAACACAAGAGTAAATAGAATAGGATACTTGCAAAGCAAGTTCACTGTGCACTGGTTACCTGCCTGAGTCTGGTGAGAAAGAAAATTCAGACACACAACAAGTTACATGAAGTGGGTTTATTACTTACAGATAGGCAGCAAGGGATAACAGAAGCCTAAGACTCATGACAGGCTGGTCCCCCAAGGCCCAGGGCAGATGGAGTCTCATCTGTGTGTGCCCCACTTGTCTTGCAGTGAGAGACCCTGGTAAGCAGCCCACCTGGGTTTTATATCCCCAGGGGAACATGACTCACTGGGCTAAAGTGTTGAAGGGCATCCTGCTGTAGGAGGGATGGGAACAAAGCCTGAGCTGTTCTGGCTAGTCCCTCCCTATCTCAGCATGTTGCATTCCCAGCACATTCTAGTTATTCTTAAGAACAAGTGAGAAGGGGGAAGAACTGGGTTGGTCCAAGGCCACCATGAGAACTGTCCTGCAATACTATGAAAGAAAGTGTCGGGCCCCAGCTTTAGATTGTGTGGTTGGAGCCAGCTGAAGAATTAATTGATGACAAGAGACACAAAGGACAAATGAGTGAGACAGGCAAAGAGATCGGAGCATTCTAGATAAACAGCATATGGGAAAGCTCAGGGGCAGGAACTAGCTTGGGCTGATTAAGAGCCTTTACAAAGGGGTGGGTGGGACTACCGGTCAAGATGACGGGATACATGGTCCCCAGCACCACTCTCTCACACAAATCAATTTACAGCTATAAAAAAGCACCGACAGCCAAGCTGGGGCCGCTGGAGCTCAGGGGAAGAGGAGGAGAGACCTACGGAGTTCATGTTCCACAAATCAATTTACAGCTATAAAAAAGCACTGACAGCCAAGCTGGGGCTGCTGGAGCTCAGGGGAAGAGGAGGAGAGACCTACGGAGTTCATGAAGGTGGGAGAAGCCACGATGAGAGAAAGAAAAAACCACCCTGCAGAGCGCACGGAGCAGGAGCTGGCAAAAGCCACAGCTGTGCCCTTCGGATGAAGTTGCTTGAAAGCAGCTGGGAGAAGAGGGCCTTGGTGGCCTCTAGGCCAGCGAGACCACTAATAGGGTTCCCGTGAACCCACATTGGAGAGAGGAGCCACAACTGAAAAAAAGGAGCCACTCAGAGGCCGGTGAGTCATCACAAGGGACCGGAGCATGGCCTGTCCCATGGGAAGTGTTTGCAGCATAGGCAGTGTAGGGAAAATGAAAGATAAATGGTCAGGATCCCTCAGATGTTCAGAATCTTACTGAGTATTTGATGTAAATATGCACGTGTGCCCAGGTGTTCCTTGGCTATTGTCTAATGTAATTGCATATGTGCGCCCAGGTGTCCTGGGTTATGGACTTAAGTATAAAGGATGAGTGTCTCTGACCCACAGGGCCCCCTGCCCCTGGGATGTCCTGGGGGGGGGGCCACGGGGAGGCTGCTACTGCTGCTGGAGGCTGTTGCTGCCAGTGCCCCCGGGATGCCCCAAGAGTTCACTGCAGCTGCTGCTTCTGCCACTACTGCTGCTGAAAGCTGCTACTGCTTCTGCTGAGGACTGAGCTCATGTCGTCTGCCAGTGGCTCCTGGGATCTCTCCCAATTATCTAGTGTGGACCTGCATGTGAGGGGTCTGTGACCCAGTCCGTACAATGGATTTGAAGGGTCTGTGGGCCCTAACCAATCAGTGTAGCTATGGCCCTAACCCTGACAATACAAATGGAAACTTAGTGTAACTAAAATAATGAAATGTTTTGGCTTTAGTTATTGTATTAGTCCGTTTTTGTTGCTTTTAACACAATACATTGAACTGGGTGATTTATAAAGAAAAATGAAATTTACTGCTTACAGTTTCTTTTTTTTTTTTTTTCCTTTTTGTCTTTTTTCGTGTCCGGCAACGGATCGCAACCCTCAGTGTCGCACCCGTACCGGACCGGGACCAGCAACAAGATCACAACCCTTGGTGTCGCATCCACACCTCGCTCAGCCAGTGAGCAGGAACCGGTCTGTATGTGGGATCCGAACCCTCGGCAGGAGCGCTGCCGTGCTCCCAAGCGGCGCACTGTAGCAGCGCGCCACCGGGCCGGCCCTACTGCTTACATTTTCTGAGGGTGGGAAGTCCAAAGTCCATCTGGTGGTGGCAACAGTGACCCAGGGGTCTCACATTGCAGGATGGTGGAAGCAGAGAGAGCAGCAGAGCAGAGAGAGACAGACTCTCCTCTTCTTTTAAAGCCTTCGGAACCACGACCCTGACCACCATTTTTAATCCATTCTCTACTGCGAGGTCCTAAAATCCAATCACCTCTTCAAGGCTCCACCTTTCAATTACCGTAATAAATTTCCCACCCTCTTAACAGTCACAGTTTCTAATACATAAAACTTGGGGAACACAATTCAAGCTTAAATGAGTTTTGGGGAGACATAATTCAATCCACTACAGTTATGACTTGCTTTAACAATACAATTGGCATAGCCGTACAATTGGCATAGTCACTTAGCTTTACAGGTGGTGGGGGAGACGGGCTCACCAGGGGAACACTGGGGCACAGCAAGGACAGCTGATCTGCACCCCAGTCAATGCAGGACCACTCAGTGGAGACTGGCCAGGAATATAGAATTATTGCATGGGGTGCAGTTTGATGGAAAGACTCAGGCCCAGACCAGAGTGTCTACACAACCCAAGTGCACCGGATTTCACTAGAACCAGAAGTACCTATAAAGTCAACCGTTAAAACCTGAGCTGCACAAAAAGCCTTCCCTAGGGAATCAGCAGCAAAGCAGCAATTTAGCTCAACCACAGAGCTTAAGTACTGGTCCCTACAGGAAGTTCCCCATTTTAGAAGTAAGCAAAGGACAGCAAATTAGTTCCAGTGCAGAGTTTAAGTGGTGGGAACAGCAAATAATCCAACACAGAACTGAAAGGAAAAACAAAGTACCCACAACCAGAGACTAAGTGTGATATTAACTAGTAAAGGTCTCATTTCACCAAAGAACCCCTACAACACCTAGAAGGACTGGAAGTCCCCTGGGGTACCAAGCCAGAAAGGGGGGAGGGCTGGGTGCCTCAGCCATGCCCCCCAACACCCACAACCAGTCCCAAGATGGGGGCCGAGGGCCTCAGCCACACACCCCCGACACACACCCAGCCAACTCAGCAATGACCACCAAGCCACCACAGGAAACACCCTCAGCTCTCCCATGCCAGGGTGGTAGGGGGCCGAGGGCCTCAGCCACGCCACCCTGACACACACAACCAGCCCAGTGATGACCCCCAAGCTGCAGCAAGAAGGGCCCTGGGTTCCCAAGCTGGGATAGTGGGGGGCGAGGGCTTTTGTCACACCCCCTGACATCTGCACCCAGCCCTACAAGGACCAAGCCACCACTGGAAGCCCCCTGGTCTACCTGTGGGAATGTGGGAGGTGCCACAAGCCTCAGTCCTGCCCCTCCTCCTTCCTCCTTCTTCCATCACATTTCCTTCTCCTTTCCCCTCTCCCCGTCCCTCCCAACTGCTCTGCAGCAACATCCTAGAATGTAAAAAAATATATTA